GTATTGCAATTCTTACTCTCAAATATACAAAGTTTATTGTCTATTGTCTAATTGCTGACTTAGGCATTGGAGGGGTTTTTGACACACACCCGATAGCTAGCTCACATTTGTGTTTTTAGATAGCAAAGCGACAACGTTTGGAAAAGTGCAAACTTGATCAACAAGATTATACGAGAAGTTTATTATGTGCTCGTACAATAACTTTTTAACTTTTTAACTAAAATATGATGTAAAAAAACTAGTATGTTTGAGATGACTATTTGATTTTTACAAAAAGATATGCAAAAAGTAGAGAGAAAATGAAATTTTTGACTTTTTGATATAAGTTGTTGACTTTTTTATTTTTTCAGTGACTTTTTAACTTTTAGGCTGAAAAGTGATATTATCAAACGAGACCTAATTCAACTACAATTCACCTTATTTGATTATTTTTTTAAATTTTTTTCTTTTTTTTGAAAATACTAAAGTCTAATTTGATAAAAATAAAAAATATTTATTATTTTTATATGATTTTTTCTCTTTCTTTGGAAAAAAATAATTTTCAAACAATTTTTTAGTATTTATTTTCTCATGCGGCCAAACAAGGCAAGAGCACTAATTTGAATCAATCAGCCCGTGCCAGGAATAGCATGAATTTTGGTGGATTGATGAAAAATATCGTTTTGATCATCATCCATCACTTTGTGTCTGTTTGGTACAGTTTAAAAGCTACTTATTTCAGCTTTCAGCTTAATTTAAGCTATTTTGATGTGTTTGGTTTAGCTTATAGCTTTTTGGAAGTCAAAAATCAGCTTATTCTTTGAGTGGGGCAGGAGATGCTTAATTTATAAGTCAGAAATCAACTTATGTTCATAGTTATAAGCTATAAGCTGTTTAGGCATAAGATATAAACATTTTCTCACAGTTCTACCAAACAGGGCCTTTGTCATAGACCCTAGTAAATTTTGGATAAATTTCATTATTTACACGGTCAATTTTAATATTATTTTTATTTTCCATTTTTATAAAGATTTGCATCTCTACAGACTTCAATTCCATCAAATCAGTGAGTTTTCTGTGAGAATTAATGTGAGTTGAGGATGATGGTTTAGTGAGTTGCGTTGTAAGGATAAAACCGAAAATCTGGCGTACTTTTGGAGCACGTTTTGTTGGATATTAAGTACAGTCCATATCACCAGCCCATAAGTTTCCAATAATTACCGCCAGTCCCATTAAGTTGACTTAAATACCATTTAGTCATATTGACCTTTTAAATGTATTAAAAACATAATATTATATGTATCAATTAGTATATTAAGTAGTATACTTTATTAATGATGTGGCATAATTTAAAATTTTTTTGGCATTTGTAATTTATATAATGAGTGTGATCAATAACAATGTCATAACTAATGTTGGTACACTAGTTAGTATATTAATTAATGCATGTAACACCACCAATTAATAAATCCTCCATTACCTATATTATCCTCATTAATTTATTACTCCTTATTTATTATCTTTTTTTTGTAATATTCTCTTTCTTTCTATCAATTCTCCATGAAGCTTTTCTTCTCTCTCTCTCTCTCTCTACCATTTCTCTAAAGAACTTCAAACCACCACTGTCTATTGCCACCGTCGTTATACCATCACTGTCACCATAGTCGTTCATCCGTCACCAACCACTGCCACCACCACCTCATTATTCAATCACCACCATCATTCATCAATAATTTCTATCATTTTTTATCTCCACCACCACTGATTTGCACTTCGCCGTTGTTGATCTATACTATATAACCTTCGAGCTACTCGCCACCGTTACCGATCCACTACTACCGTTCACGAACCACCACTACCATCACCAATCTACACCATCATTGTTCAGATCTAGCCATTTATAATATCGATATAGTATTGTAGCCATCTTCATCGTCAAGATGTAGCCATTACATGGTCACTGGGCCTCTTTCTAGTGAGATCAGGTCTCTCACTCTCTCTCTCTCTCTCTCTCTCTTTACTATGTCATAGATCTCCGTGAATTTGTTGGTAAAGATCTAGTTAAACCAAATCTATTGTTTGTAAAATTTATATAAATCTACAATGATAAATTTATCAGTGTTACTTTGTGTGTGTGTGTGTGTGTGTACAAATGTGTGTGTGTGTGTGTGTGAATGAATGTGTATGTATATGAGTATGAGTGTAAAAGAGTATTGATTAAATGATCTGGTTATTTATCAATGATAAATTTATCACTGTTAGCATTTATCTCTATCTTCCTCCATCCCTCATTAGTTCTCTTAAACCAAATCAGCTGCAAATCATAGTTTAATATATCAGTGATAAATTTATCACTGAATAATCTTAAATTCTTGTATTGATTTGTGACGGTGATGATATATCTAGCGATAAAATTATCACTAAAAAATGTGTCAATGTCAGTGATAAATTTATCACTAAATCTGTTTTTAATTCTTTGTATTGATTTGTGAATGTGAAGAATGACGAGAACTTCTAGGAAAGGTTCCTCATTCCTCTACTTTATTCTCTTCATCATTTTTCTTCTCTTTTTCTTTTGTCGCCACCAAATCTGAGGAGGTGCTGGCGATAGTGACGGGTTAGAGATGGAAAATGACCAAAAAAAATAGTTGAAGGTAATTGTTGGAGGTCAACGGTGGTTGCCAACAGCTAGAAACGATGACCGAAAGTGCTTGCCAGCAGTTAGAAGTGGTAGCCAGTGGCCGAATATGGTGTCCGACAACTGAAGATAATAGCCGGTAGTTGTTGGTGATAAGGTGCCATGGGAATATTAATAGATGAAAAAACAAACAAGACTTGTAAGTAAACAAATCCAATTAAGGCTTGAAATATTATTTCCATGTTAGGACCTATTAGTTTATTACCAAATAGTACTAACTGTTAGGACCTATTAGTAGTTACCTAAATATCATTTGATTCACATTTTTAAGACTTGAACTCATTACTTTCGTTTTAAGTGTGGTAAACGCAAAAATAGGCCATGAGAAACATGCATTACAATTTGAACAAAAATAAAGCCCAAAGTTTCTCAAGCTTCAAACTGCATCTTTGACCTGATGAATTTCGGTGCAACATGGTAAGAGGGAAGAGTAGTCCACTTACAAAACCACAAGTGTCCAAAAATAATTTTTAGTTTTGAAATTCAAAAACTGTTTTAGTTTTTTAGCCTCTGTATTGAGTAAATTTTTTTCATATTTATTTTCTTTACTTTTTAAATTCACTTCATTTAGATGCATTTAAAACGTAAAATATTTATGTTTAAAAATTTCTTCACAAATACAATTTTCACTAAATTTAAGTGTACTTAGATAGGTTTATTGAAAAAGTTTAAAAAAAATTATTAAAATATTAAAAACTTAACCAAGACAAAAAAATAAATAAATAAATAAATGAAGACCAAAAAACTCAAATACAATTTTCAAAAACTAAACCAAACACCCAAGGGCTAAAAATATTTTTTCTAGTCTGGCATCATTTTTTTTAAGTCTATATTAAACAGTGAATGAAATATAAACCTCAGGGGGCAAATTGTTATGAAAATACAAACCTCAGGGGGCGGGATGTAATTTCTGAAACCTCAGGGGGGTATCTGTAATTTAGTCAAACCTCGAGGGGTGTATATGTAATTTGCCCAAAATTATTAAAATATTAAAAACTTAACCAAGAGAAAAATAAATAAATAAATAAATGAAGACCAAAAAACTCAAATACAATTTTCAAAAACTAAACCAAACACCCAAGGGCTAAAAATATTTTGTCTAGTCTGGCATCATTTTTTTTAAGTCTATATTAAACAGTGAATTTTAAATTTATGTGAACATAATTTTTTAAAAAATTAGAAAACAAGTGTTTGGTGTTTCTTAAAAAGAGCATTGTATTCAAGTTTTTTTCTTCCAGAAAACAGTTTTCTGGGAACTTTTTGCCAAACTAACCCTATTTTATTTGGTTAGTAGTATGAGTGGAAAAAGGAAAAAAAAAATTGCCATCTATTTCAATTAAAATGTATATTTATTTTTATTTATTTCAGTGTGTACCCATCATCAACATTAATTTCAATCATTTTAACCATACTAAAAGGGAAGTCAATATAATTATATCAAAAGTGTGAACAAATTATATTTCTCCAAATTTCAAGGATGTGAACGTAATTTTATATATTAAGGGGTAAATTACACTCACCTCCCTTGAGGTTTAAAAAAAAAAATAGTCAACCCCACACTTTTAATATTGGCAGAAGATAAATTTAAGAAAATTTTCATTTTTACGTCTCAAGATAAATTTAATATCCAAAAGAAAATAACAGACTTGCACACATTAAACATAAAGATCAAATGTAAAGATAAAAACAACAAAAGGATCAAATATTAGCATGACTGACTTAAAGTAATTTAAATATTTTTTCAGACACCCTAGTGTAGTTCAAGTGAATTGATTTTTTTAATTCTCTTGGTAACCAGATGTCTACTCCATTCCTCGCCAAGTGTCTTTTTCACTAAGCGAGCTGTGTTTAGTAAGAATAGAATTGTCATTACACCGCACCACACGATCATTGCAACTGCAATTGTATAACTGAGTGGTTCTCCGTCAATTTTTGGTATGATCACAACAATAGAAATTGCATATGTTACTACCACTGATGTAATGGTCAACCATATGCTCGTAGCTAAAATCCACATGAAAATCCTTCTCTTGAATGGCAATCCACTTATGAGCGACAAAATTGTAACGCCCTCAAAAAAATATATAAAACCCATCATTCTTGACATGTAACAATATAAGAGAATTAAACATCTTTCTATTTATTACAGTAATTCTTACAACGGTATTACATGTTAACAACAAAAGCAAATGCCCTACGGGCTTACAGCTTTCCAAGTCAACACTTGGTTACAAAAAGAAGAGTACAAACTCAATACATATTAAGCCCTTGGCTTGAATTTACGTGTAATACATCAAAGGAAAGCAAACAACAAAAAAAAAAACGTCTGTCTGTCTCTAGCCTCCCAAGCTATGTCCTTTGAGGTGGCATGCTACCTGTACCTGAAAATGATGTCCCACATAGGGTGAGCCAAAGCCCAGTAGAAATATACTAAACCAACTATAAACAATGACTAAAATAACAGCATTCGATAGATGGTCCACGCTTATATTCCCACTTATAACACATTACAGTTTCATGACATTCAAATCCATGTTACATTTCATTTCTCACTTCTTTTTCAACTTTGAGTTTGAAAACAAGGCTCAGAACTTAGCCAAATAACTTAAAGAGATTATGACTCATCTTTAAAACACTTTTGAAATTCATGATGGATATACATTTTGGTGCTGTACCAATAAGACATAAACCACTTCCATACTTCACGAAGGATACACATTTTGGTGCTGTATTAATATGACATAGAAATACTTCTATACTTCACAATTGATAACGATATACATTTTAATGCTATATCAAATCAATTCAAACACTTCCATAATCCACACTTGATACACATTGTAGTGCTGTATCAATGTCAAACAAAATCCGGTTTAGAGGTCCATCCCCTATCTTCCCCTAAACCGTGGAGTACATCCCCTATCTCCTCCCACACACACAATGTATATAAACGTAGATCATATACATAATCAATCAATAGATAAAGTTAATGTATTATTCCAACCGCTATAGTTGATAGCACACTCAATCGATTAGTTTTAATTTGCCTAATCATCATGCATTGTCTACAACAATCAAGACTATTCTCCACCGATAGCCCAAAACAGTTATTTCTAAACAGAAAATAAATGCACCAAATGGGTAAAATATCAACATTTCAACTAGGTGAGTGATAAATGATCCAACTACACCCTTTAATCCCTTACATTCCCAATTTCAACATTCGCAATCCAATTTCTCATTTCTCAAAATTAATTTTACAAATTAATTTATCGATGTAATTAGGGCATTTCCTATAATTAACAAAACAACCCTAAGGTTCCATTTCTATCAATAACCCAACATTTACCTCATTTCTCCATGCTAAACATGCATATAGGTTTATATAAGTAAAACCCCTTCTTTTGTAAAATTACATAAAGGCCCAAACTTTCTCAAAATTACCCAACAACCCCTAACATATCAAAATGCTAAAATTTAAAGACAAAGCTCATAAGGAGGAGTAGGATATCCCTACCTCGAAATTTGAGCTCAAACGGAGATGAAGACCAAAAACCAACGTGCTCCAAATCCCATGTTTTTCAAATTAAAACGAAACTCTCAACCCACTCTATCTTTTTAACAAAGGACTAAGAGTAGAAACTCACTCTAGATAGATCAAACCTTAGAGAGAAGACAAGTATAGAGAGAGAAAGAGTCGAATCTAGGGTTTGCAAAATGAAAGAAGATGAAAAGTGATGTTTTCCCCGCTGCTGCCTGCTGATATACAATAGGCTCGCTCGGGCGAAGAGTTGGTCGCTCGAGCAACCAGACACAAGAAACCTATCTCGATCGAGCGAATGACGTCTCGCTCGAGCCAACAATTCAAACCCTCAGGTCTGTAACCAGACGCACGCTCAAGAGACAAAACGCTCGCTCGAGCGAAGAATAACCAGCTCGCTCAAGCGAAGAAAAGCTCGCTGGAGCCAAGAAATGCAACTCTCAAGTCCAGAACCAGATGCAGTTTTACGCTCGAGCGAAGAAACTCTGGCTCGAGCCACCAGACACAAAACTCAACTCTCGCTCGAGCGAAGAAACCTTGACTCGAGCAAAGGACCAAAAGCAAAGAGCTCGCTCGAGAGACAAACTGCTCGTTCGAGCGAAGGACCAAAATTCTAGGCAGCAACCATTTGCTCCCATACACAACCAACCTGTAACAAACCTGCCCAACACATCCTATAACTCAAATACAAAGTACGAAAGGATGTAAACAAGATATAAACAACTGCTAACATCCACGGAACCAAGTCGGGATCACTGTACAACAAGGGGTAAAACCCGGGATCGCTATAAAAATTGTGATTAGGGATGCAACAAATCCTATTATGCTAGCACAAATGAAATATGGGTATGAATGTTGATAATTATAAGCCATTACAACTTCTCCAACTCTGTGTCCGTCTGAATTGTGCCAAACACCACTCAAAGGGTACATCCCAGCTTGAAAAGCTCTTGTTGCAATAAGCGTTGCCACCAACATTATTGTCTCTTTTTTCTTTGCCAGCCACTCACACTGTCCAACATCCTTGCCGTTAATGGCTCCGGCTTTTCGGAGTTTATTTTTAATATCATCTGGATTTTCCACATCCTTTCTAATTTGTGCTAGAATGTCCAATGTTGTGTACTTGCTAGCATTTTATGTTTACATCTAGTGTCGCATTAGTAAGCACTAGTATTAGTTAGTTGCAACTTTGGGAAAATCATTTTTTGTTTAATGAAAAAAAAAAAAAAAACACTTGATTACAGTCATACCTCAACTTGTTTATTCGCCATAGCTAGATGTAATATGGTGTTACCTCTTCCATCTTTAACATTCGCAAACTCTTTATTTTTAATGGTATTCATCAATTCTTTCAGACACTCTAACTGGTTGCACATCATACATAAATGTAAGATGATCTCACCTCAATCCATCACGACTTCAGCTGCTTGGGAATTGGCTTGAACTAACACTTTCAACGCATCGACCTTACCCTTCATGACTACAAGATGTAATGCATTTTTACCATCTTTGTCACGAGCAAGACACGTGTCAGAATCTACTGATATCAACGCTTTTACAACCTCAACGTGCCCCTTTACTAACGCTAGGTGAAGAGGCAAGCGTTGTGAAGAGTCCAAAACGTCAGCAAGATCTAAATTTCAACGCAAAACTTCCCTCACAAAGTCTGCATGCCCAGGCAATGTAGCAACATGCAAAGGGCTCCAACCAAACCTACCAAAGTTCATTCTATCAAGAACTAGTGGATCTTCTCTTGAGTATTTGATGTAATAATGTAACATTGCCTTTTATTGCTGCTCCGTGAAGCCTCTGTTCCATTCTCACTAGCTCTCTGTGACAATGAATATGAATATATGAGCAATGCAAAAGAAAAATAGCTGTTAACAATGAATATGAATATGAAATTTTGGCCAAACTATTATGCTCCCTTCATTTTAAAACAAAATGTCCATCATCACGATCATAATTTATAAAAAAAAATCTTGTTAACCACTGCTCAATGGGCATTTGTTAAAGATAAAAAATAATAAATAAATAAAATAAATAAATAAAAAAGAAGTAAAGTGTATCTACCCTTTCAAATTGCTTACTAATATTTGGCCATAAATCAAGGTTCAACTCATAATTCTAAAAACCGGCCGATACGCTACGTATCAGCCGATACGTATCGGAAAAATAGGGCACTACGACGAACACAGGCTGTTATACCGCTGAGATTGAAAATAGCAGGAGAATCGGCCGAGTCCCGGTACGTATCAGTCTGTAACCGTTACACAAGCCGTTACACAAGCCGCAACGGGCCAATACTCACCGGTTCAGACCGGTACGAGAAAGAAAAAACTGAAAAACCTGTTAAATGATTTTTAAAATTTCACCGTCACGACACCCGATTCCCGATACGTACTGATCAATACTACCAATACCGATACTCCGCGATCGATACCATTACATTACCCGATACTACGATTTAGAACCATGTTCCAACTCCTTCCACGTGGTATCTAACTAAAATATAGAAACAAAAATGTTAGAGATGTCAAAAAAAATAAAATAAAATAAAATAATAATAAAAAAATAGGTATCCATCGAAGAAGATCCTTCTCTTTCCTTTTTTTTTTCTGAAGAAAAGGAAGATCCCCACAAAATCAATGAAATAGAAGAGATCCAAGTGAATGGAAAGGAAAAAACTAGTGTAAAATTTTTAGATGCCTTTTGGGGTCCCTAGCATTGCTCTATAGAAATTAATTCAAATATATTATGGAAAATACTAAGTCAACCAAACATTATACAGAATTTGCTCACATGATGTAGAAATGGTACACTTAAAATTATAATCATAATAATGGATGTTAGGCTTTTAAACTAAGTGATCTAATTATCCTATGCAATTTATATATATATATATATATATTGGTACAAGGTATGAACAAATACAATAATATTTCTACAAAAAGGGGGGGGAACTACGCTAAAGCGCTACTACAAATCGCGCTTTCACTGTTTGGAACCCAAAATGTGATGAATTGTGAAAACGCTATTGCAAGCCACGCTTTTAATTAAGAAAACGTAGTTGCAAATCACGCTTTTAACATAAAAAAATTTTCTGAATAAAACGCTATTTGAAATCGCGCTAAAAAAAAAAAAAAAAAAAAAAAATTCTTGAAGATGGTAAGTCACATATTCTTGTGTTTGTGCATTCTATGAATACTAGTTTACTACACATTTCTAGTCACTACTCTTCTTCATGTGCATTGAGCATAAATCTAGACAAAAAATGGGACAGAGGCTCCACAAAGCAAGCAATACAAGGTAGTGTCACTTTATTACATTAACTACTTGGAGAAGATCCACTAGTTCTTGATAGAGTTACCTTTGGCTGCTTCGGTGGGACTCCTTTGCATATGGCTACATTGCGTAGGCATGAAGAATTCGCGACATAAGTTCTACATCTAAATCCAGATCTTGTTGAAGTTTTGGACTCTTCACAAGCTCGCCCCTGCACTTAGCATCAGCAAAAGGGCACATCAAGGTTGTACAAGCATTGATATCGGTAGATTCTAACATGTGCCTAGCTCTTGACAAAGATGGTAGAAACCCACTCCATCTTGCAGTCATGAAGGGCAAGGTTGACGTGTTGAAACTATTAGTTGAAGCCAACCCCCATGCAACTCAAGTCACAATGGACCAGGGTGAGACCATCGTACATTTTTGTGTGATGTGTGGCCAGTTAGGTTCTCCCAAGGAACTGATGAATACCTTCAAAAAAATAAAGAGTGTGTGAATGCTAAAGATGGTAGAGGCAATACCACATTACATCTAGCTGTGACAAATAATCAAGTCAAGGTACGATTGTAAACAAGTTATTATTATTATTATTATTATTATTATTATTATTATTATTATTTACAACAAAATACCATTTGGCCAAACTTGCAACCGTTTAATATATTCTGAATAGTAATTAAAGTGTTTTTTATTTTTAATCTTTCATTTAGCAGTAACATGAAGTGAAGGATAAAGTCTTAAGGTATTCAGTCTGATAGGCTTATGTTATTGTGATTGACCAGCGCAAAACCCACACATCATCTGAAAAAATGAGGCATCGCAATCAACAGAAAAATGGTAGAAATAGGTTATATATATATAGTGTTGTGATTAATGACACCCTGAAAATGATTCACAAACAATCACACACACAAATGAGACCCTAATATTTACATAGTTCGGCCCAATGCCTACGTCCATGTGAGAAAGAGAGAAAACTTCACTATGAATAAAAAAAATACAAAACAGAAGAGGAGGAGCTTACTCTCTCAACTAAACTCACAAATACACTCTTCACAACTCGCACTTTTCTTCACCGTCTGATCTCTCACATTTCAATCTCAGCTCATTGCTCTTCCATTTATACACAAACGAGAGAGCCAAAAGCTCAACCTCTACTTGCCAACAACCAACTACCAAAGTTAATGGCAAGCCATTAACATAGCCACCCTAGGTTGAAGAAAGAAAAAAAAAAACTTCTGAAAATCTGTAGCCTCCATTCTTGACTTCCAACGAAACATGGTGTGGATACTCAACAATTCTCCCCTTCCACAACCATGGAGAGTAGGATCCTTACTGGAAGTTCATCCCAGCAATGTCCCTGCATACTTTGAGTTTTGTCTCTCGAGACCACCTTTGTAAGCATGTTAGATGGATTCTTATCTGTGTGGATCTTGACCAGTTCCAATAATTGTTTTTCCATCACTTCACGTATCCAATGATACCGAACATCAATGTGTTTTATGCGAGAATAGTACATAGAATTCTTGCTCAGGTCTATGGCACTCTAGCTATCACAATATATCGTGAACTCTAGCTTTAGTCGCAGTTCTTGGAGAAACCGCTTCAACCACAACAACTCTGTCCCAGTTTCCGCTGCGATAATATACTCTGCCTCGGTTATGGATAAAGCAACACACTTCTGTAGCTTGGACTGCCAAGACATAGTTCCCCCTGCGAAAGTGAACATAAATCCTTATGTAGATTTTCTACCATCAAGATCACCTACTATATCTGAATCTGTATAACCTTCCAAGATTGATTTTGCTACTCTAAAACACAAACACATTTTAGATGTACCCTTAAGGTACCTCAGAATCCACTTGACTGCTTCCCAATGCTCTGTTCCTTGACTGGAAAGGAATTTGCTTACCTCTCCAACAGCATGAGCAATATCTGGTTGGGTGGACACCATTGCATATATCAAACTCCCTACAACGGATGAGTAGGGAATTGCCTCCATCTCTTCTCTTTCTTTTGTAGAAAGAAAAGAACTCTTGCTCAACTTGAAATGATTAGCCAGCGGAGTACTAACTAGCTTGGCATCTTTCATGTTGAACTTTTCAAGCATCCATTCAACATACTTCTTCCGTGACAACCACAACTTCTTGACTTTCCTGTCACATATAATTTTCAAACCCAAAATTTGTTGTTCAGGGCCTAGATCCTTCATGTCAAAGGACTGTGATAACTTCTTCTTCAGTGATCTGATTGCTATGGCATCCTGTCCAATAATCAGCATGTCATCAACATAGGGTGTGTTTGATTGGACGGACTGGATAAAGGGGGATTAGAATCCATCGGACTTGAGTCCTGGGACTGTGAATCCCCCGGACTATTTGGTTGGATTGAATATGTATCCTGTGTTTGTTTTTTCATGGGATTAGATGTCTGGAAAGGACTATTTTTAGTGAATCCAACGTTTGGTTGGACGGACTGGATAGGATAAATGAACAAATGACTATTTTACCCTTTTTTAATTGTTTACTAAGTAATAGCAATATTAAACATATCTTTACTATTTTAATTATTTTTAGCTAGATTAAATAAAATTTTATTTTATTTTATTTTTTACACAATTAAATAAATTTATCTTTTAAAAAATTAAATAAATAAATAAAATATCAATAAAAATATATATTATTTTTTTAATTAAAATTTTAAATAAATTTGTTTTTAAAAATAATAATAATCAAAAAATGAAATTAAATAAAACATCTATTAAATTTAAATAATGAAATTAAATAAAACATAAACAAAATTTTAAAATAAAACATCAATAAAATATCTATAAAAAATTATTTTAAAAAATTAAATAAATAAAACATCAATAAAAAGTTAAATAAAATTATTTTATTTTTAAATTGAGACATTTAAATTTTATTGAATTTTATTAAATATAATACATAATTAAATAGTGCAGGATCAGATATTGCTCATGCTGTTGGAGAGTAGATACAGCATGAGCAATATCTGGTCGGGTGGACATCATTTCATCATCTAATCCAAACGGTGATTAGTCCCCCCAAAACAATCCCATACCCCTCCCTTCCTAGGACACTATTGTGTCCCCCTATATGGAGGATAAGGAGTCCAGCCGGACATGGAGTCCGGCGAACTAAAAAAAAATCAAACGGCGGATAAAGAACACTATTTGGATTACAATCCAAATAGTGGATAGTCCACCCCCCTTATCCCGCGAATCAAACACGCCCATAGAGTAGGAGTATGATGAAGTTTCCTCTAGGAAATTTCCTAACATATACACACTGGTCTGCAGCAATTCTCTTGTACTCATAACCCGTCATAAATGAGTCAAACTTCTTGTACCATTGTCTCAGCGCTTGTTTGAGGCCATAGAGACTCTTCTTCAATCTGCAGACTAAGTTTTCTTTTCCTTTTACTTCAAAACCTTCTGGTTGCTCCATGTAAATTTCTTCCTCCAAATTACCATGAAGAAATGTCGTCTTCACATCCATTTGTTCAAGTTCCAAATTCAAACTGGCTGTTAGTCCCAAAATTACTCGAATGGATATCATTTTCACAATTGGCGAGAAGATTTCATCAAAATCAATACATTTCTTCTGTCCACAACCTTTGACAACCAATCGAATCTTATACTTGATTAACTTTCCACTGCCATCTTTCTTCAACTTGAACACCCACTTGTTCTTTAGTGCTTTTCGACCTTGGAGAAGTTTTACCAAATCATAAGTCTGATTTTTCTACAAGGACTGCATCTCTTCTTGCATAGCTTACTGCCAGCTACACTTCTCCTTATGATTCTGAGCTTCTTGAAAACTTTATGGCTCCCCCTCATCAGTAAGCAAAATATACTCAGAAGCAGGGTATTTTGACAACAACTTAGGCTCTCTTGTTGATCTTTGTAACTGTGGACCAATAGTCTCTGGTGGAGGGGGTTGTGGCTCCCCTTACTCAACACCCTCTTCTTCTGGATCTTCTTCTTCTAGAAAACCATCCTGCAACTCTACATCATTAGCTACATGCTACGGTAGCTCTTCTTCATCAGTGGCATGTTGTGATGGTGCAGGGTTTGGAACAATCTGTGAAACATCATCAACGTTGGGTTTGGCTAGTTACCCAAAGTCTTCTAAGGTCTGACCTTCTTGAAACACCATATCTCGATTTCAAATGACCTTTTTGTTTTTCCAATCCCACAGTCTGTATCCAAATTCTTCATCTCCATAGCCAACAAAAATACATGGAGTAGCTTTATCATCTGACTTTTGTCCGTGCTCCTTGGATACATGTGCAAATGCTTTGCACCCGAACACTCTCAAGTGAGTAAGAAATCTCCCTTCCAGACCATACCTTTTTTGGAATCTCAAAATTCAGTGGAACTGATGGCGATCTGTTGATCAAATAGCAAGCAACAAGAATAGCATCTCCCCAAAATGACTTTGGCAGCTTTGTCATTTTGAACATACATCTGACCTTCTCCACAATGATTCGGTTAATTCTCACTGCTACACCATTGTGTTGTAGGGTTCTAGGAACAATATTCTCATGCCAGATGCCACGAGTAGCAGAATAAGCTTCAAACTCCTTTAACGTGTACTCGCCTTCATTGTCTGTTCAGAGACACTTCGGTTTCTTTCCAGTCTCCCTTTCCACCATAGCACGTAATGTCTGAAAATGCTGGAACACCTCAGTTTTGGTTTTTAGGACATAACCCATACCTTCCGTGATTCATCATCAATAAACGTCAGGAAGTATTTTATGCCACCCAAAATTCCACTTTTATGGGACCGCATACATCAGAGTATAATCTGCTCAACAACTCTGATTGTCTTCTGGATGATGAGTGGAAAGCAACTCTATGATGCTTCCCAAATAAGCAGTTGTCACAAGGATTCAATTTCGCATCTTTGGCAAAGGGAATAAGAGACTTCTTTGCCATAATCTGCAACCCTTTCTCACTCATGTGACCCAGCCTTTTGTGCCATAAATTTGGTGATGCCTTATCTTCTAATGCATTGAGGCTATCTGAAATCACATTCACATGAGTCTTGTACAACATACCAGTTGCTTGTCCTCTAACTACCACCAGAGATGCCTTCTTCAATTTCCATATGCCTTTGCCGAAGTAGTTCTCATAGCCTTGTCTCCCTTAAATGAGATTCAGGCGTAAATCAAGAACATGCCTGACATCTTTTAACACCATCGTGCACCCAACTTTGGTTTGGATGCAAACATCACCAATTCCCACAATCTTCAAAAAACTAGAGTTATCCATCTTCACTGTACCAAAATCTCCAAGATAGTACATATTGAAGAACTCCTTCCGAGGTGTAGTGTGGTAGGAAGCTGTTATATCTACCACCCACTCGGTGTTGTTGTCAGACATATGGAGGCATTCTTCTTCTTTAACAGAGAATAATGCAATATGCTCTGAGACAGTAACTACAATG